CCATGGAGACAGAGGCAAGAGAAATAAAAAAAACTCTCAAACATTCACTTGGTTTAAAGACATGGGCTTTGATTCGACTGGGGGAGACAGGGTGAGGCAATTTTTTCTTCTTCTTTCAGCTTCTCCCTTCTTCAGCGGTCGCCACAGTGAACTATCTTGCACAAAGACTTGGCAATTGCTTTCTTTGTACGGCGGATGCCCTTCCTGACGCAACTACAGACCACCGAGCTACCACAGCCCTCTGTGTGGAGCAGAGAACTGCTATCTAGGGTACCTGGGGGAGCAGAAGGTGGGGGTTAAGGGCCTTGCTCAAGACTGGAGCAAATGAGGGTGGAGGCAGGTGATGCTTCACCTTTCCCACCCACATTTTGATGTTATCAGTATGGAGTCGAACTGGCGACCTTCCGATCACAGGCCCACCTTCTCTAACAAATATTAGTCAAGAAAGCGAGCCTGGGTGAAAACCCAAGAGGACCACTCGACCACTGAGGCTACGGCTGCAGAGAGTTTGACAATGCTGTTGTCCAATGCTGATTATTTGTTTCCTTTGCCAGGGATGTTTCCTGCTGAAACTTAAAACAGCATCATCAAAAGGCAATACTGTCCACCACAGGGACGCCATCATCAGATCCTCTGATGGAACAGGGGCGGAGCTCATTTTCAGGGGGGAGGAGTTCACTTCCAGGTTTGAGGTGATGCGGCTATGAAATGAGGTGTCATTCACCCAAGAGGATGTCCTGATCCTGGTTCTTTTGGTTTTGTTTGACAGATTTATGGATTGAGTTTAGTTTTTTTAATGTTGTTGTTTTTTTTTATTTATTTTTGTTTATCTTTAATAACAATTCCTCATTGGTCTTTATTGTTTTTCTGTTTTTACTTTCTGAGTATTTTCTTTGTGTTCGTTTCCTCCTTTGCCTCCATGTGTTTCCAGTCATTCTCAGTAGTTTTCCTCAGCTAGTCTTGACTCTCCAGTTACTCGCCCACTTACACCTGTTCCCTGTTGTCATTCAGCCCAGGTGTCTCTACTCATCAGCCCAGTCCATTTATTCTCCTCCCAGTTAAGTTTCCTTCCATGTTCCTTTTTTTATTGTAATTTTCAAAACAGCCTTTTATTGTTTCGAATTGTCTTCAATAAATCCTTTAATTTCATAATTCCTCACACAGAAAATTTCTTGGCAGCACGGAGGCACAGTTGGTAGAGCTGCTGCTTCTCTGAGAGGTCACCTCGGTTCAAATCCTGGCTGGGGGCCTTTTGGGTGGAGTTTGCATGTTCTCTCCGTGCATGCTTGAGTTTTCCCTGGGTATTTTGGTTTCCTCCCACAGACCAAAAACATGCACGTTAGTCTGATTGGTAACTCTAAATTGTCTCAGGTGTGAGTGAGAGTGAATGGTTGTTTGTCTCTATGTGTCCCTGTGATGGACTGGAGACATGTCCAGGGTGTCCCCGGCCTCTCGCACATTGCACTGGATATTGGGCACCAGTGACCCCAGCGATCCAAAAAGTAAGAAGCGGATAAAAGATAATGGATAGAATTCCTTGCACTGGTTTGAATTCCTGGTTTTGATCTCTCTTCTATATCTGACAAACTGGCAGACTTGACATGATTGAGCAGCCAGCCAAGACCTCTGGGTCCTCTCATCACAGGGCTTCAATAGGCTCCATGTGACCAACTGTGACCACCCCTTTAGACATTTAGGCCAAACATTGGGCTACCCATGACTTTCTGGAGTTTTCCTTTCCAGGATGACTAAGAAATTAGATATACTCGATATCAGAAGACAGAGCACACTATGAATCGTATCCTCCTCCAGCTCAAGAACCCTCATGACTCCAGCCACTCTACAAGGTCAAGGTAGTCATCTTGCCGGCATATTGTTTTTAGAAAAAACACCTGGACTAGAAATCTCAATTATCTCATTTACCTGTTAGATTGTTCCAGATTGAAACCAAAGACTGAAAAAAAAGGCTTCCTTACCTTGATGAAAAGATAAAAACATGCAAAAACATTTTATTTGTGATCCAAATTACACATATACAAGAAGTCAAGCTATAAGCATGTCATTTTAGGAGATCACAGCCAAAATAACGAGAAAAAAAATCCAATCTGTACATTTTTGAGTTTACAATGAGTAGCCAGTAGAGAACCAGAAAACACTAAGGCAAACCATCAGTAGACAGAAGAAATTATGCCTTTTTTGTATTTAACCCACCACAGCAGTGTCCTCCTTGCTACAAAACGTGAACTGATGATTTCCTTTATTAGTAATCAGCTGCATAAGTTACATCATGATTAAAAAAAACATAAAAGTGTCTATCTAAAGTTTAACATTACTGTACATGTATTTTCACTCGCTTTGGAAATCCAAACCAGCAAAACATGTAGCTCTGTGCTGGACATGATCCATCCCTCACAAGGATAATCCTCCACAGTAAGCCACCGTGGATCGCAGGTCTTGGGAGTTTCGAACAGAGCTGGACTCATTCTGGATTAGAAACACTCGTCATTGTTTGGTACGGGCTCAGACGTGTGTTTGTTTTCTTGAATTTCCAGCATTCACATGGCGCTCCTCAACCTGAGACTTTACCCTCGATGCTGACGGGTCAGAACTCCACAGTGATGTTGGTGATGAGGGGAACCGTCTCAGTTTTCTCATTGTCCAACCTCCATGTTGAGCTGTCAGTAAATATCCTGAACGTTTCTGCGACTCAAACCAATTCAAATTCGTATTTAATTTTATGATGAGAACTCACAGATGGTCAGCATCTTCTGCAGCCAAAAATATGTCAAAAGTGTTTTTTTTTTTTAGTATGTACTGGTTTCTGTTGGTGGACAGTTTCTTGCTCAACCTGTCATTTTTAGTAGCAACAGAATTATACATAAACTAAAAGTAACTTCTTTCATTTTGTCATTCTGGAAATAAACCAACTTGTCTTTTTTATGTCCTTTAATAAAAGAGAGAGGATGTAGCCAGAGTGTATAAATAGCAGCACCAACATTTTCTGCTTGTTGAAACCTTCCAGATACAAAAAAAGGTTTAAATTCTGTTTGGCACAAAATGTCCCTGATCTAAAACTTTCCTCCAGGGCTTGGTGTGATGTGATGCCTAGTGTTTAGAGGTGGTGGAGCTCAGCTCAGCTCTTAGCTGAGGGTACAGTTTAAAAAGTCATGATTATATATGAACTGAGGTGTGGTGGGCAACACACATCTATCAGGTGTGTGTGAGGTTGTGATGAAGCTTCTACTGTAGTTGGACCTGCCGCTGCAGAGACGTTTACACCTGTCACTTTGTAGCCGCTCATCTGGGGTTGGTGTATTAGTACACACAGGTAAGCTTCAGGAGGTATTTGTAACAAAAGGGAGGCAAAAAAGTTCAAAGAAAAGGCTTACAAGACAGTGGTGAGACCAGCTATGTTGTATGATTTGGAGACAGAGACATGGACAAAAAGACAGGAGACAGAACTGGAAGTGGTAGAAATTAAGATGTTGAGGTTCTCCTTAGGAGTGACAAGGATGATTAGGAATGAGATCATCAGAGGTACAGCACAGGTTGAACAACTGGGAGATAAAGTTAGAGACCAGACTGAGATGGTTTGGACATGTCCAGAGGAGGGACAGTGGTTTGGACATGTCCAGAGGAGGGACAGTGGTAGAAGAATAGAAATGCAGCTGCCAGGAAAAAAGATAAAGAGGAGATTTATAGATGCTGTTATAGAGGACATGGAGGTAGTTGGATGGAGGACAGAGGAAGGACAGAGGACACAGAGGACAGAGTGAGATGGAGAGGGATGACTCGCTGAAGACAGAACAGCCGAAAGAAGAACAATGTTAGGAAAAGACAAAAATCTAAAATAAACGTTAATAGTGACACGAACATTTAGATGAATTGACCCAGAATCTGCTGACCTCCTACCCAGAGGTGTGTATGACTCTCAGCAACTACCACACCAGGTTTTAGCTCAACATCTGCATACTGACTGACTTACAACCATGTTTGTGTTGGCCACAGTTGATTGGCTGCAGTGGCCATCTTGAATCTGGTAGACTCCAACAGTTAATCAGTTGTAGACGAATATCCAGAGATTACTCACTGAGAGTTCATTAAATTCTGTCCAGTGTTTCATGAGATATTTTGCTAATAGACAATTTAGCCACTTTGCCTTTGATAAGTGTGACTCCACTTGGCTCTCGTCTTATTGGTTCTTTTCAGGTACAGGTGATTTGCCACTGTGACTTGTTTCCCTGCACTGTGGGCAGGATCGTCAATGCAAAGTGGATGGTATCACAACTATTCGTGTTCAAGTCACTCCGCTTGTTATGGTCCTTAAACGCCCTTTAATCAGACTTCAATTTCTTTAGCTTATCCTGGCACTGCTTATAAGTCTGGGTGTAGCCAGTCATGCCCAATATCTCTCTGTAAATGTGCACATTTCTTATGGCGTCATCCATCACCATGATGAGGAAGTGGAGGTTCAGATGTAGTTTGCAGTTTTGCTGGGTGGGTCATTCAGTGACGTAGCTCTGCTGGTCAATCAATGGTTGCGTTGCTGTCTGCTTACGTCAAGATCGGCCCCTCGGAGGAGTTTACTTGGAACCATAAACAAGGCGGTCCCATAAACTGCGCTGAGTGGGAGTGGGTACCAGCAGTGGGCAGGCCCTTAACTGGTGCGGTGTGGAGAAGAATCGAAGAGAGTTGAGAGAGTGGAAATGCACAAATTGAGCTAGTGTGTATGGGGGGTATCATGTATCACCTGCCCTTGCTGCAGAGTGGAGCCATGTTTTACTGGTGGGACCATCCAAAGCATCTCAAGTAGACTTTGCCCTTAAAGTATCCATCCAGTGTGTTTTCACAAAAATGATTTGCACTCACTCACACACGCACACGCACGCACTCATTATAATGGCAAAGTACTCCTTTAGTTGCAAACCCCAGGAGTCTTTAAAGCAACACAGAGCATTTTAAGTGAAGAGTATCAACAGAAGGTACAGAAAGGCACATTTGACCCGGTGCTGCTGAACGGTCAGATTCAAGTGTGGATGAGCGTCTGCCTCAGCACACAGTTGTTAGCATACAGGCTAACGCTCTGATCCAGTTCAGTGGCCCAGATATGCACCAGCTCGACACGTTTCATCGGCTGTCCCCCAACAGGCAGCGAAATTTAAATGCCAACGTAGTCCATCATCTGCTCTTCTGCCCCCCACCTGAGCCTTCTGAAGCAAGTGTGGGGGGTGGTGGTTCTCGTTAGATGAGGAGTGACGATGCTAATCTTCCCCCCCGCCGTACAGGTCGGCCAGTTTACGAAAACGCGGCCCCCAGTGGCCGAGGTAATCGTACTCCTGGTCTCCATAGCTGGAGGAGGAGCGCAGCGAGCTGAGGGAGCCGGCGGTGGAGCCGCTGCCTTCGTAATCGAACACTAGCAGGGAGTCGTAGGGGGGTGCTGTGGGGTCATTGTCTGCAGCCTTCAGGCCCTGAAAAGAAGATGAAGGAGACAAGAAGTGAGTGAGGAGTTAATCTATGTGCTTGTCATTCCCCGATCTGTTACGGAAGCACGATCCGTAGTGTACTTCCAGGTCGCATGGATCGCCGTTGTTTATGAATAAAAACTGTCTTAATTTACTTAGAAAAGTATGTGCTCTATCTCCACCGATCTTCATGTAGCTAATTTACGCTACTCGTATTTTCATTACAAATCATTGGTTAACATGATATGCGACACATTAAACCTGACCCCCAGCCTGGGCTGAATGAGAAAAACCATGCAAGACACAGAACTAATTATTTCCATAGTGAAACAGCGCAGCTCAGTGGTGAAGCTGCATATCATTTTAACCATGACGTAAATATGTCAATGATTTTAACAGAAATAAGAGTGGCGTAAATTAGCAACATGAGAATCTGCGGAGATAGAGCACATACTTTTCTAAGTAAATTAAGACAGTTCTTATTCAGAAACGGAATTACACCAGTACATTTTCCTTAATCTAGCATATTCAACAGCGATTTCGTGAAACCTGGAAGTATTTATTTTATGCATGCGCAAATGAGCTACAGTACGGATAGGCTTCCATAACAGATCGGGGAATGACAGTGCTGCCATGGCTACAGGTACACCATGGTCTGTTCACCTGGTGTGATCAGAGGAACAACAGAAAAAAAAATGATACAACAAAGACAACTGACACCAATGATTGGGATTATATCCCACAGAATCCCTGTCCTTATGGTTCAGATGCTCAGGAGCAGTCAGCTGCAGATTACAGCAGCGGATCAGACTCACAATCCATTTGTTGTCTAACGGCACCACATCAGTATTTGCTGGGCCACTAAGCCCTTCACTCATAGAACCTGAGTTTGATGTGTCTCAGGTTAATCCCTCAGTTTCCATATTTCACATCTAAACTGGTGAAGGCTGTACAACCGTCAACTCTGGATTTGTGGAATTTGGATCCCTTCGTGTTTGCAGCCGAGATTTTCTAAATGCAGAGACTGAGAAAACCTGAGCACAGATGAGGATTAAAGTAATCCTATATTTTTATAATAATTGTGCAGTAAGTCTGAAGTTCTTATGGAGCCCATGTCCATCCCCCTCCATCTGTGGACACGCTGAGGCCAGCTGAGAGCAGAACTGCTCACTTTTCAAAGCAACGAGGACAGAAAGCGTCTACCCCCCGCCCCCACTTTACTTCAGCCCCGGAGCTCAGACCCCCTAGTCTAACAGCTGTGTGTTTGAGGAATGAGTTGAGGAAGAAAAGGGGCAAGGAGGGATTACAGAGAGAGATTGAGGTCAGGCTGGACAGATGCTGCCTCTGTCTCGATGAGGAGATTCAGCAGATTACCCAGAATGCCCTGAACTCCAACCAACACCCCAGTCCCACAGACTTGTTTCAGGACCAAAACAGTCATGATGAAACTTAAGAATGCATAAAACATCTCGTCTGAAATTCAGGTAGAACCTTAGGTTAACGGGATTGCACACTGAGTCCAACAGCTTGGAGAAGTATCTTTAGCAGCCATAACTCTCAGAAATCAGCTGCATTTGGTTATTAGTTTGTCCTACAGCCTTACACATTTAGCTGAATTTATCTAATCTGGCTTTTCCAACAACAACAACAACAAAAAAAGAGGTTCTAGCTTTTGACTAGTGCTAGAGCCGGTTCGAGTTCAGAACCTGTTTGGGTTTGCACAGCCAGAGAGCTAACTCGGAGCCCGATCATCATGTCACGTTAAACATCTCCTCCGGTAAAAAATGTCTGATTGGTTGTTGGTTTCCATGAGACCACCTCTTGTTCCTGACCAAAGTGGTTCTCAGCTCTGGCCACTGTTGTCAGATGTAAGATAATTATCATGTTTATACCACAGTTTCAGGGTCTATATACAATAAATACCCATACACATATCTCCCCTACACCTTACAGCACAGATACAATAGTTTGTCATTTCCTATCTAGAAACCCAGGGTTCTGGCCCAGCACAGAGCTGGTTCTGGCTCTGGGTTTTCACTTCCTTCTCAAGGAACAAGAGTATTGCTGACGGCACATTATACACCTATCAAGTCAAATCAAATTTATTCATTGAGCACATTTAAAACAGAAATTATTACCAAAGTGCTTCATAACCACAGCATCAAGTAAAAAATAACAAGATATAATTAAAAGTATCAAAAAATAAAAACGTAAAAAACCCAAACACAATGAGAAACAATGGGATAATAAATCAGATCATACTGTGTTAAGTGTCAGTGAAACTAACGTCAACAAACTACCAGTATTATAAAGCAATCTGAAGCAAGGACTTGGACAAGCAAAGACCTGGTTTTAACTTTGACCTTGATCTGTGACCTTGACCTTAGAGCTGGGGTGATGAACAGTGAATGTGACACTCCATATTGTGATGATGCAGATCTGAGTGAAGCAGAAGTTATGGATGGGAAGAGAGAACGCTTATGGACGGACGGAGACTATACCAGGATAATAAATTCGTCTTTGACGTGTGTATAAAACCCTGTCTGTGTGCGAGGTTAATCAGACCTGTTGTTTAAAAAGGCAGTAGGTCCAGGTCAAGGAGCATTAAACTGAACCTGAACCTGTCTTATGTCTTAATGCAGGCCAACCAGAGCCGTGCACACTCACATACGTGCATGTGAAAACAATATGATCAGACAGCAACACGCCTGGGTTGGAGTCGAGTCTTTACACTTGAGATGATGCGAGGAAGATTAACTTGTGTTAATCCATGTAAGACTGTTAGGAAGTCCTTAATGCACAACGAGCACACACTGACAGCCTGAACCCTCAGCAGTGAACTCAAGATGTCCTGGGATATTTGAAAACTTCAAATAAAACATGGTCAATCAAATCTCTAAATGATAAAGACAGAATTACAGACCATCTGACTATAAACTAACATCATCATATAGAGACATGGCTGGACCTGATTAGGGTGTGTGCATCCTGTTAACTCAGATGTTGTCAACTAACTAATCAAAAACCTCCAAAGCCATGACATCATCATCTGGTCTTTCCCACTGTCTAAAGCCAAACTATTCTGATTGTATAACACTGTAGTGTAATTCGTGTCCTAAAGTTGTATTGTGAGCATTGTGATGATGTTTTGATTTTGTTAACCTGTAGTTATAGTGTTGATGTTTGTGTAGCTTTAATCTCTGATGGATTATATTGGACCTCACAGCCGCCTTTGACACCATCGACCATGAGATCCTCATTGCTAGGTTAGAGCAGTGGGGGGCATCACAGGGTCAGCCCTCAGTTGGTTCAGATCCTACCTCACTGACAGATCCTTTTGTGTCTCCATCAAGGATTTTAGTTCTGCAGCGGCAGAGCTTAAATGGGGGGTTCTGCAGGGGTCCATCCTGGGTCCCCTCCTATTCTCTTTATACCTGCTGCCGCTTGGTGCTATTTTCCGGAAACACAACATGCCCTTCCACTTCTATGCCAATGACTGTCAAATTTACTTCCCCCTAAGACACAATGTTACATGTTCTATTCAACCGCTGCTCGACTGCCTGGCTGACATCAGGGACTGGATGGCTTTAAACTTCTTAAGTTTCAATGAACAGAAGTCTGAAGTCATGTTGTTCCCTCCCAATGACACGATCACAAACCACTGCATCGACCTTTCCGCTCTAACCCTGTCAGAAAAAGAAAGAGTCACTAATCTGGGCGTGATAACGGACCCTTCCCTGAAACTTAACAATCACGTAAACATGATTGTTAAATCATGCTTCTTCCAAATGAGGCGACTGTCTAAACTGAAGCTCATATTGTCCAAAAAGAACCTGGAGACAGTAATACATGCATTCATTACATCTAGGCTTGATTACTGCAATTCGCTCCTGTTTGGTATCAGTCAGACCTCCATTGCACGACTACAACTGGTCCAGAATGCAGCAGCCCGATTTTTAACCAGTACAGGCAAAAGAGAGCACATTACACCAGTTTTGGCCTCACTGCACTGGTTACCGGTTCACTTTCGAATCCAGTTCAAAATACTCATGTATGTCTACAAACCACTGAACAGTGTTTCCCCCCCCCCCACCCATCTCTCTGATTTGCTACAACCGTATGTCCCACCACGTTCCCTGAGGTTAGTGGACCAGTTGCTCCTCACAGTTCCAGGAACTCGTCTTAAGCGCAGAGGGGACAGGGACTTCTCTGTAGCAGGACCAAGACTCTGGAACGAGTTACCTCTGCTTGTCAGACAGGCCCCCTCCCTCGGTTTTAAAGTCCCATTTAAAAACCCTCTACTATTCGGTGGCTTTCAACACCAGATGATCTGTGTTTTGATCCTGTATGCTCCACACTGGTTTGTTGTCATTATCTGCATCGTATTTTTGTCTATATTCTGATTTACTTCATTTTGTATTTTGCTTTGTGTTTTACCTGTTGTTCTGTCTGTACAGCACTTTGGTTGGCCTTGTCGCTGTTTTAAGTGCTCTATAAATAAAATGGTATGGTATGGTATGGGTGGTGAGAAAAACAGGAAGGAAGACAGAAGAGACCAAATGTTGACTTTCTGTTCACAACACAGTTTGTGTTGCACTCAAGATGTGATTCATCACTTCCTGTAAGCTGAAAAGTGAACACGTCCAACACCAGAGCCTCCTCCAAGCCAATAGGCTGGCTGTCAGTGAGGAGCGGACCCCCCCCCCCCCCATCTGCTGACCTCACAGTGGGAACTCACACATCTTCATACCTGATGAATAAAGTCTCCTATGTCTCCTGGATGGGGGGCTGTGGAGCGGAGTGGGTACTGGTGCTCGTGATGGAGGGGCCTCTCGTCCAGACGTCTGATCCCCACTTTGATGCACTCCGACTCCAGAGCATCGGGCTGCTGCAGCTGGCTCAGATCGTAGTCCTGACAAGAGACACACAGCCACAGCTCATCAACCTCACTTCTGTTAACTTCAAACCTAAATACTGTAAAAGGTTCTGAACTACAACTGGAATGCAGTGTGGTAGTAGCTGAGAGTCATGCACAGCACATAATGTGAGGGTAGCAGGTACAGTATGTCATGAAATAATGTTATTTATAAAGCTTCACCAAAAGGGTTTTAACAGTTTGATTAGGCTGTTGTTGAACCAAGCACACTGAGCCCAGAGACCAACCATCATGTGTCTTCATGATTTTCTGTTCTCGTGTGTCTCTGAAGGCATCTATTAGCCTCCATCTCCCACCTTGTCTTGTATGAAAGTGGTTTAGGCAGCAGCCAGTGGAGGAGTGTGTTGAACAGTTCTGTCTGAGTCACTGCAGCACCCTTCAAACAGCATCTTGTGCTTTCTGGTTTCCAGGGAAAATTGACGGTAGCAGCCTTTTTAAGACAATGACAGCAAGCTGTGGACTGACCTTGGGCTTTGTTCAGCAGAACAGCCAACCAACAAAAAAACCTTTCCCCTAACGAGTGAATGAAAGTGCAGCAACAAGCTGGCAGGCAGCTGAGAAATGCAGCATACTTCATATATTTCTTCACTTCACAAAACCTGAAACAGCCTGGTCCTCACAGAAATGGACATTTCATGTCTTTGATGTCTCTGCAGAACCAATCTGTCATGTGCAGAAACACTTGTTCTCATTTAGTTAAGTGGAACTCTTCCACATAAACAGAAACAATAATGCATTAGTTAACAAGACAAAGCTTTAAAGGGACAGTCTGTTGATTCTGAAAGTGAAGTTCTAATAGTTATCAGTGGTTAGCACAGTATGAGCTGTGACAGCAGTCTTAGGAGGAAGTGACAGAATTCCAAGCTTATCATAGCAGGACCATTTTCAACGCTTTCTCAGAATTAGCACACAGGTGTCTGATTATGTTATGAATTAGGGAACACTGTCTGAAATAGAAATATCTAAATATCACCCAGGGTCTGCTGGGTGACATTTATCTGATGGAAACTTCAAAGTGTTTTAATGTTGGAAACCAGCGTTCAAATCCTTGGAAGATTTTCAATTTCTTCTCTTTTAAAAACAAACAGTGGGCATGCCGACATGACCAGATGTGCAGATTTACACAACTTTCACTATTAGACACATTTAGTCCAACCTGTCTGTCCAGCCTGAACATCTGTTCTGCAGATATGTTGCTTGAGCTCTGAGATAAGAACAGTAAACACTATCTGTTTCCACTTTCTATTTCCTCCAGTACAGGACCATTTGGAATAGAGTACAATAACTTATGGAATAAAGTACAAGAACATATGTAATGTCAGAAACATCTGGAATAAAGTATATGAACATCTGGAATAAAGTACTAGAACATAAGTAATGCCAGAAACATCTGGAATAGTGTACAGGAACATCTGAAATACAGTGCATGAGCATCTGGGATAGAGAACAAGAACATCTGGAATAGAGTACAGGAACATCTGTAAAAACGTACTAGAACATTTGGAATATAGTACATGAACATCTGGAATAGTGTACAGGAACATCTGAAATACTGTAGAGTACATGAACATCTGGGATAGATTTCAAGAACATCTGGAATAGAGTACAGGAACATCTGGAATAGAGTACAGGAATATATAGTATAGTATAGGACAATTTGGGATAATATGTAGGAACATATGGGACAAACTGGAGTATGAACTGGAGGTCCCACAAAGTGGGAGACTTCAGTACTGTGTCTTGTTCCCCACCCCCCGACCCCCACCTCCAAAACACTTAAACTGTTTCATAACATAAATCCAGTTGTTTTGTTTTATTAAATTTCTTTAATTTATCATGTCCTGGATGACCAAGAATAACCCAGCATGCTCCACCAATAAAGCACTGGGATTGTGGAAGAGGATTCCTGATCATACAGAGTGACTTCCAGCCTCCCTATCCATGAGCTGCTGCTGCAGAAAGCAAGTTGTGTCCACTGGGTGGGTAAGCGAGGGTTAATACGTCCCCAGCTGACGTACAGATCAGCTTATGTGTGACATCAGCCAAGAAGTTGTTTAGAGAAGAGATGAACTTGTTCTCAAACACACAGCGATTAATCCTGTTTTCCAGGTCCACTTTTGTTTCACTTAATCTTAGCTGGAGGACAGAAGATTGAAAACTGGAAAGAAGCAGAATATGTCAGTGTGTGTGTGTGTGTGTGTGTGTGTGTGTGTACCTGGTCCTCCTCTCCACCTCCCTCCTCGTCATATTTCAGGATGTTGTCCCGGACGTCGTCCTCCGGATCAATAAGAAGCTGTTTGGCCTGACGCTCCTTATCCCTCCTCTTCACCCACATCACAAACAGCAGCACCAGAACTGCACAGCAGGCAGGGCAAAAGAAGACACAGAAACTATTTACTAAAGAACCAAATCAGATCTTCTTCAGCATCAGTCCGTTTCTACATCCAGTCAAGGACCAGGACAGGGAACAAAGACCAGTTTTTACTCCTAGACTCAAACCCTTCATCTTCTTATGAGAGCTGAAATCTTCTTTACTCATTTGGTTGTGGTTTTTAGAACAAGAAAAACCTGAGATCTACTATTGTGCTATTTTAGCTTCCAGCTAGCTTTTTGCCACTTTAGCTTTTAGCTAGCCTTTTGTTTCTTTGAGCTTTTGCCACTGTACCTTTCATAAAGTCTTTTGCCTGTTTTTATTGACTTTTGCTACTTTAGTTTCAAAGTAGCCTTTTACTACTTTTAGTTTTTAGGTATGCTATTTCTTTTAGCTTTTAGCTAGCTTTTAGCTTATTTAACATGTGCTCTGGTTCTTTTAGCTTTAACAACTCAACTTCAACATGTTCAGAAAAATGAAGCATCTTCATGTCACTTTTGTTAAAAAATTAACCAAAGTATCTGTTTTAGTGAGAGTTGCATGTTGTATTTTTAGATTGTAGCTGTAGCATTGAAGCCCCGCCCACAAACCCTCGCAACTCGCTAACAAGCTGTCGATCACGGTGACATCACACTTTTCATAAATAACTAACAAAACTGAAAACAACAACAACAAAAAAAGCATATTAAAGTTACGACGACTAACCAACAAAATCAACACCTAGATAAAACTATTTGAGGCAGGGCTTAAACTTGCCCAGCCAGCCCAGTAGAGGCTTCTTTCAGCTTCTGGTCCTGTCTTTGGTAATAGGTTTCATGAGGACCATCACGTTCCTTTCTGAACCGGTTCTGCATGGCCACTGAACAATAAGGCCTGTGAAAACCTACAGAAACCTGTCATGTTGCCTTTCTTCTCCTCTGGGCAGATGGTGGTTGGGAAGTGAGAGAGGTGGGTTAAAGTCCTTCTGAGTCCGGTGCTGGTTTTATTGGTCCCTCCTTCAGGAGTGCAGCTACCTCATGTTTCAAAGCTAAAGACGGTAAATAAACCAACTCAACTCCTCGAACTGCTGTTGAATCTACATATTCTTTCAAGCTTTCGACAGAAAGTAGATCACAGAGCCTTCCTGATTCTTTCAGTTTCAGTAAGCAGGTGGAGGTCAGTGTGTCACTCACCTAAAAGCGTGATAATACAGATGAGGATGGCAATAATGGCTCCAGTGCCCAATCCAGCAGCCATGATTCTCTCCATGTCCACGCAGTCACCATGGCGATCACACTGGCACACTTTGACCCTCAGCAGGGACGTGTTGGTCATGGGCAGGTTTCCAGAGTCTGTGATGGTGATAGGAATCTCGTAGATGCCGCTGGCCAGGGAGCCGATCCGCAGGCGAATCTGGGCGTACTCACCTGAAGAGGAAACGGTTCAGAAACTTTTAAAGTTCACTCTTTAACAAGCTGAAGATTAGTTTTGATCAACAAGCAAATAAAGCATAGGCTATGCTTTCTACGGGGGCGTAGCGGTGCTTTTATTTGTTGGTGTTGTTTGGTTTACTTCTATTTAAAAACAAACAACAACCCTCCCATAAGCACAAACAAACCTTGCTAATGGGCATGCTCTAAGCTAGCGGGTCCCGCTCAGCAAAGAAAGGCTGTGACGTAAAGGGTCAGATGCTAAATGTGATGTTTTCAAGGAAAATGTAACAACTTGAACATCTACTCATGGACACGGTCCACGTTAGAAGAGTTTTAAATAAAATAAGAAACTATGACAACTTTTTGTTTATGCTTTGCTGATTTTAGCTACTGTTCTTTTATCTTCTAGCTAGTAGTCTGCTATTTTAGCGTACTTTGTGCATGAGACGAACAACCGTCCAGCTTCTCACCCACTATAGGGACAGCTTAGGGTTGTCATTTAGCCTGACAGGCAGGGTTTTGATCTGTGCTCAAACCTGAGGCTTTTTGTACTTTAAAAAATATTTTACTCTTTATTAAATATTTTACTTTTTTCAAAATAATTTTCAATCAATAACATTCAGATCTCTTCACTTCCTTCAAAAACCTTGTTGTCTTTGAAATCTGCTCCAACATAGGCTTACATGGGTTTTGTTTTCTTAGGCTACTTTAACTTGAAGTTACGTATCTTTATGCTTCCTGTTTAAATCATAGCAATAAATAAATATTTTTTGTATTTGTTTTAGTTACTGTATTGCTGGTTTTAGCTTTAGCAAACCTGTTGGTACTTTTAGCTACCATTGAGCTAGTTTTTTTGTTTTAAGTTTTGCTACATTTAAGGTAAATTTTAGCATATAGTTTAGCTATTTTTAGCTTTTAGCTACCATTTTACTTTTTAGAGTTCAGCAACTTTTCTTATTTTAACTATTGTTTTGCTGATTTTAGCTTTAGCATATGTTTTGGTACTTCTAGCTACCATTGAGCTATTTTTAGCTTTAAGTTTAGCTACTTTTACTGTAACTTTTAACCACCATTTTGCTTTTTTATTACTTTTATCCACCATTTTGCTCATTCTAGATTTTAGCTGCAGTGGTTTTATTTTTTAGCTACCGTTTTGCTCATTTTAGCTTTAGACAAACACTTTTAAACACTTTTTAATACAATTCTACTATTTTTAGCCACCGTTTTACTCCTTTTAGAGTTTAGCTAAAGTCTTACATCCCAGCATGAAGCAGCTGATGTCATCAATGAGCTGAATAATTCTGTACATCTCAGCAGAAACCAACAGAACCCTGACAACCTGAAAAACGCTGCTTCATACGAACCACTGAGGTGGCCGAGGGTCCAGTTACGCCGGACATCTGATGGACGAGTGACCAGCTCAAATGCGAATGGTCCAGCGTTGGGGTTCAGGTCCGGGTCACTGGCTGTGATGTTCAAGGCGTTGGGCTCGGGCTTCTCACACATTTCCACCTCAGGAGGAAAGACGTGAGGCGCATTGTCATTTATGTCCAGCAGGTTTATCTGCAGGGTTCCTGTCCCGCTGGCAGGGGGGAGGCCTTCATTCCAAAAACACAAGAATGAAAGATTTTCAGTCCTCTTTAGACTTTTATTCATCAGTCGAAGCATATTAGATAAGATAGATAAAAAAATCAGAAGCTCAAGAAATGGAAATAAATACTTCATCATGCTTGTCAACAAGAAAGATGAAATAAATAACTAAACACATAGCAAGCCGATGTCGACCATCTCTGAGGGATTTGAGCAGTGACTGTTTTCAGTTTTGGAGATGTGTGTTTTTCTGGAATGGAACAAACAGAGAATGCAAGTAAACAATCTTTTGGTGCAAGATATTTAAGTGGGTAGGAGTTACACTGTGTAGAAGAACAGGATTTATTTATTTTAGCTCAGCTGCTACAATCTCTGTTCCCCGTCCGGAAGTGACAGAGCTGCGTGGGGGGTGGGGTAGGCGGTCATCTTGGATTTAGACATTAGACATCAGCAGTGTGTGTGTGTGTGTGTGGGGGGGGGGGGGGGGAGATACTTGATCTAAAATACAAGTTTGAGTAAAATTAGCCTGGATTGGTTGAGTTTGCATCAAAGGTTGTTAACGGCAACATCACAACTTCCTGAAGGGAGCCACTGAAATGAATCCATGACTGAAACCTGGTTGGTGTCAGTTCAATTCAATTCACTTTATTTATATAGCACCAAATCACAGCTAGGGCTGAACAGTTTATTGCATTTGCAATCATACTGTGGTAAAACGAGATTTTCTAATCGCAAAGGCTGCAATTTGACTTGTCACGTGATCTGGTTATGTGACTTGCGAGTGACCGGAGCAGAGCAAAGCAGAGCAAAGCAGAGCAGGGAGTGGGAGAAGTCAACACTGCATTTTAACTGGTTGCACAATGGCACCAGGCTCGACAGAAGCTGATACATCTGAAAGTCTGGCACCAAAGAGGAGCAGCACGTTGGTCGTTTGGAATTATTTTAGCTATAAAAAAGAAGACGCTGCACAACGACATGTTTTGTGCAGAACCTGCCTTGCTGCTGTTGCTACCTCTTGAGGTAACACCATGAATCTTTATCTACACTTGAAAAAAAATCACAAAGCCATTTATGATAGTTGAATGGTTAGAATGCCAACGACCAGTGCTTCGACTTCAAGTAAGCAAAGTCCCAGCCGACAGGGATCACTGACTGAACTGCTCGAAGGGATTACTCCGTATGAACATAATTCGAAACGGCACGCAGAAATAACTCGAGCAATAACGGAGTTCATAGCAAAAAACACGATGCCCATTAATATAGTGACCAAGCCTGAGTTTACAGCTTTGGTAAACACAATTGATAAGCGGTACAGAATGCCCTCGCGCACACATTTAGCCAAGTTGCTATCCCGGAGCTACACAAAAAATGCAGAAACAGAGTTGCAGTGGAGCTGAAAACAGTGGAGTCTTTTGCAACTGAAACAGATTTATTGCTTGTGTTCACTGAAAAATATATGCGAAGAAGACATTGAAAAATAACCGCATGTTAAATCATAATCGCTATATTGAGATAAAAAAATTGCAATTAGAATATTTTCCAAAATCGTTCAGTCCTAATTAAAACAGAAGATGTCTCAGGGCACTGTACAAAAGCATTCCCATACAAATCAAAAGCCATTTAGTAAAAGTTATCTAACTAAGGAAGGAAGTCAACAGCATTGAATCTTCACATAGTCCCAGTCTTCCATCCTGAGCAAGCACAGTGAGGATGTGAGATGTCAGTGAGGATGAAACCAGAGCAGAGGGGACGCTCAGTTAGCAGGAGCACAGAGGGCTCTCTGTGGAAGAGGACGCAGGGTCAACTCAGGGGACCAAGCTGCTGCTGCTGCTCTGTGACATCTGTCTTCAAATATTTTCCACTTTCAACACAGAATCCTCTCTCCTCTGGCCATAAGACCCAGTCGAAATCAGAAGAAAAACAGGAAAACATCTCATTTAAAAATCAGCGTCAGAGTGGTGTAATTCTACAACGAGACAATCGACTGATTTCAGGACAGTACTCATGACGAGTACAAGACAACGCTGAGCTGATCCATACAAACCACACGAAGCTGTAAAACAAGTACCGACACAGCATGGCCTCTTTACAACACCAGGTTGTTGTTCCTGATGAACATAACTCTAATGTCGTGCACATGTCACATATAATACATTATAATAACATCGGGTGAATAACAACAGCAGTACACAACCTAACCCTCTATCTGCACTGCCATGGTACTTTGGCATACTTGAGGTGCACACAGGACTGACCGTCGTCCACTGACTGTGGACCAAATGTTCCTGTGCAGTAAGCACCGAACCACCCAGCCCCCCACGTGTCTCACCATCATCTGAAGCCATGAAGGTAACGTTGTAAAGGTTGTTCTTCATGTAGGGAGACTCTCGATCGAGGACGGCGATGGTGGAAATCTCTCCGTTCATTGGGTCAATCTTCAGCCAGTTGGCAGGGTCGTACATCTTGGAGTACCTAGGATCAGTAAAAGAGGAAGACGCAGCATGAGGAGTGTTCACACAGGAGCTTCTTATCTGCTTCACTGGCTACAGGTCAAGCAGCAAGAGCTGGACAGCAGCAAATCCATTCAGCCTCAGATGTCACACCGGACATGTATGTTTGTTTTCATGGGACCGTTATAAAAACATCTCATCAGCCAGTGAATACATTTTATGAAATGTGTACAAACTACTTAAAATTCTACAAAAATGCTACTTGTTCCAGTTCAAGATGGCCACCACTGCTAATCGATCTTAGCCAAATCAGAAATGGTTATAGCTTAGACAAAGTTTACAGATACGGAGCTAAAATTTGATGTGGAAGTAGGTGGAAGTCATCCTCAGAACGTACTCTGAGTGAACCTTTTTGTGATAATTGATAAAAATCAGAATAATGATTGAACAACAGTTATGATAATTAATATAAAGAAGCAGCAACAAAAAGAAAACAAGGAAGCAGAAAGCTCCGGAGGCTCGCTCTGCAGTGCACTTAACACTGCTTCATGTGTTTGAGCACGAGCGTGCACGTGTCTGTGAACAGTGATCTGTTCAACCATTGGCTGTTGCTAGGCTACAAGCTCAGCGCCACATTTAGAAACCAATGGTGGAGCTGAAAGGAGGAAGGATGGAGACAAAGAGCAGCCGTTCTGCAGGCTCTGCTTGGGAAGGAGCTGGAACCTTCATGGAGCAGGAAGTGGAAACGTCTGGGTCTCCTGTCAGCTGTTCATCACTTCCTGTTCTGTGGTTCCATCAGCAGACAGCTCTGAGAAGGAGTTATTAATGGTATCCATCTATCCATCCATCCATCCATCTTTCATGAGTCTGTTCATCCATCCATCTCCTCATCCAACTGTTCAACCATCCATCCATCCATCTTTCATGAGTCTGTCCATCCATCCATCCATCCATCCAGCCATAAATCTCCTCATCCAACTGTTCAACCATCCATTCATCCATCCATCTTTCATGAGTCTGTTCATCCATCCATCCATCTTTCATGAGTCTGTCCATCCATCCATCCATCCATCCATCTTTCATGAGTCTGTCCATCCATCCATCCATCCATCCATCCATCCATCCATCCATCCATCCATCCATCCATCCATCCATCTCTTCATCCAGTTGTTCAACCATCCATCCATTCATCTTTCATGAGTCTGTCCATGCATCCATCCGTCCATCTCTTCATCCAACTGTTAAACCATCCATCCATCCATCCATCCATCTTTCATAAGTCTGTCCATCCATCCATCCATCCATCCATCCATCCATCCATCCATCCATCCATCCATCCATCCATCCATCCATCCATCCATCATCCATCTCTTCATCTAACTGTTGAACCATCCATCCATAAATCCATCCATCCATCTTTCATGTCTGCTGAGATACCACCTGGTGTTGCACCTTTTGAGCCACTAGAGAACATGATGGTCCTTTGCTGAAGATATACTAACTCAGCCACCCTCACTCTGCAGTGAAACCCAAAAACAAAGTGGTGAAACCACCACACAAGATGTTTATGGAGTAAATAATCGATTATGTTCCACCTCTGAGTACAGCAGAATGTTAGCTGTGGACAACTGCCAATATTTCATGAATCTGACACAAGTCCTCTAGCTCAAATACCAAAAAGACTCACATATTCTAAAAGTCTTTTTATGTTTTTCCTAGACAAAACATGACTAAATCAACTTGTTGAGGTTGCTGAAATGATAGCAACACACAGCACAGTCTGGTACTTCTCCCATTTTCAGTCCAGTTTCATAAACCTGTGGTGTTTATAAAGTGAAAGAGTTTTTGTGGGTTCTTACCAGACATTTTGTCTCTTGAAGCGGTCCGGATCCTGGGCAGTGAAGGTGGTGAGTATGGAGCCAGCAGGCAGACCTTCCTCCAGTTTAATAGACTTGGGGTTGGGGCTGAACTCTGGACTCTCATTGATGTCCAGGATTTGTACAGAGACCGTTGCTGTAGACTGGCGGGGCAGATGGATGCCTCGGGCCAGAGGAACCTCATTTTCCGCCTCCACGATCAGCATGAAAGAACGGGTCAGTTCAAAATCTATGGGCTGGACAGAAGACAAGATGGAAGGTTGGGAACTTTGTGTCATGCTGGAAAACCAGGAAATTTAGTTGCTGCAGTTAACATCACCATTTTTATTGTATGGACCAGGGGTATCCAATCCTGGTCCCTGAGGGCCACTATCCTGCATGTTTAACTTGTTTACCTGCTCCAACACACCTGATTCAATGCTTAAATCCTACTCTTCATTGTCGGCAGAAGCCATTGATTCAGATCAGGTGTGTTGGAACAGAGAAACATCTTAAACATGTAGGACACTGGCCCTCCAGGACCAGGACTGGACATCGAAAGTGTAGACTATCCATAAACCTGTAAGTTTGTGATAGTAAAGTGCCATGAACACATCCGTATCTGATAGGAAGCTTCTTATGGAGGGCTGCCAGAAGGCAAAATGGCACAGAATGAGAGCCTGCTGACAACAATCTTTGGTTGGTTTGATGTTAACCTGAACTTTGAGCCGTCATGTTTTTATTATTTGAGGAACATTTCTATGATGCAATTCATTTTAGATGTCCCCGAACGACAGACTGCAGTCTGGACCCTAATTAAAGCTATAAAAACTGTGAGAAAAACGTTGGTTACGTACTGTAACCCCAGATTCTATGAATATAGGCGTAGCCCTTTAAGGCTGTCGCTGATGGTTTATCCCGTTATGCGCAGCATAAGCACTGAAAAAAATTAGTCCACGCCCACCTGCTGTGTGGGCCCCACCCGGTCCGTATAAATTACGTTAAGAGCGGGAAATCGGCTCCCAAAATAGCTTTTTTCTTCAGCCATTTAGGAGCCAGTGAGGCCCGACGCTTAAAGGGCTACGCCTATATTCATAGAATCTGGGGTTACAGTACGTAACCAACGTTCTATTTCATATAGGCTTCGCCCTTTAAGGCTGTCGCTGATGGTTTAAGGGCGAAGCGGATGTGGTCCTCGCCTCACTGGGTCCATTCGAACACAGTAAGAAGCGGAAGCTTGCCCAAAAAGCGTCTTGTCACTCAGCTCCCCGTGTGCATAAACTACGCATCGCGTAATTATGTGCCATGCACAGACGCATGTTGTGTAACTATGCGTTCTGACAAACATGAATACCCCGGAAAAACTTTCAACGGGAAGAGGAAGTTTAAAAGAGGGGGGGTAGGGGGGCATGAACCAACTGGTTCATGGCTGAACAGTATAAACAGATTAATGTCCATGAATTGATCAATAATCAAATGAACTGATTGTTAACAATAATCATGAACTGATTAGTGACAATAGAACCAAAATCACAGACACGACTGTGACTGAAAACAACATCTCACACTGTAATGCATGCAGACAGAAGTGAGCTTAAACAGAGTTCCATGAGAACAACAATATTCATTCTGTTAGGGCACTAAGGACAGAATGTGTCATGGAACGAGCCGTTACATCACGTAGGTAAAAGCGAATAAATGAGCAGGGTGTTGACCATGCAGCCGCAGTGCAAATGTCCTGCATTGACATACCATTATGCAGAGCAGTCGAAGATGCGATACCCCTGGTCGAGTGTGCTTAGAGGTTGACAGGAGGCCCTAAATCTGATGCTCTGTAGGCTTCAGAAAAAGGCCTCACACAGCCAGTGTGACAAGCGCTGGATGGATAACGGCGACCTGCAGAAGCATCTCTATAATGCACAAACAATTGTTGAATTTGAACGCATTGCAGCTGTGCGCGTTACGTAACACGTCAACGCCTGCACCGGGCAGAGAAGATGAACAGATGCTTCCCCTTCTGATCTGTGGGGGGGAAAAGACCCCTCCAACGACATCACTCTTGATTTAAAAGAGCTCGTGATGTTTTAGGCATAAAAGCTGGGTTGGTCTTAAAACAGCTGAGCTGCCCGTCAGCCTAATTCTAAGGCATGACGAAACAACAGAGAGGGCAGATAATTACTTACCCTCTTAGCGGGTGTTAAAACCAGCAGCAGGACTGTTTAAAGAGACAAGAATTTAAATGAAAACTGATCCAGAGGCTCAGTTGAAGCTTTGATCAGGGCTCGCAGGACCAGCGTTAAATCCCACTGTGGAACAAGTGGGCATGAAACAGGCCTACATCTCTGTACACCTTTTAGAAACCGCTTCATCAGCGGGTGATTAAAAGCTGTTCTGTCTCCAAACCCTTTGTGGCAGGAAGAGATGGCTGCAACGTACGTTAAAACGTACTGAAAGCCAACTCCCTATCCATCAGGTGTTGTAGAAAAACAACACGCTGCCTAAAAGGCATGAAGTGGTCTCTAAACCTTCTCTGTACACCAGCGCTGAAAAGCCGTCCCCTTTGATGTGTACAGAACTGTGGTAGATGCAGCACGTGAATCTTGAATTGTGCACACTATCTCCTGAGGGAGACCCATCCTCTAAGTGGGACCGCTCAGCGGTCAAACCCACCGGTGTTGACCTATTTCTGGGTAACTCTTGGTCGCTCCTCCTGCCTGAAGGAGAGCATCCTTCCTCCACGACAGTTCCACGGCGACCCCACAACAGACGTTGCAGGCCTGGGAACCATGGTGCGTTCACACGCCGGAAGCCACCAGGAGAGCTGTCAATCCCTCCTCCTGAACTCGGTTCATGGACCGTAAAAAACAGAGGAGGTGAGGGAAAAGAAACGCGTAAAAAGCGTTTTGGGCCACCGACTGTGAGCAAATGCGTCCCCCCCCAGCGATGGATCGTCTCGCGGGCTCAGGGAAAAAACCGTAGTTGACATTGCGCGTTCTTCTCGCGTCGCAAACAGGTCCACAGCTGCTTTGCCAACTTCTGCTGTGTCTGAAAAACATCAGATCCGGATGGAGGATCCGGTCCACATAACGTGGGCCGCCCTTGGACGTCACATCAGCCCCTCTGTTCAGAACATCGGATATGTAAACCGCTCTAATAAAAGCAGGTTTGATGAACCCAACTCAGTAGCTTCCGCGCAATGTGTAACATCTGGGCTGAACGCACACCCCCCTGGCGGTTTATGTACGCAGCAGTCACCATGTTGTCTGTGTGAATCAACACGTGTTGATTCTGTAGCACGGGAGCAAAATGTTGAATCACATTCAGCACTGTGCGACACTCCAAAACATTGATGTGGGCTGATGTGCGGTGGGGCCACAGCGCCCCTACTGCTTGAGATAGGCATGTCCCCCCCCCCCAACCTGACAGAGACGCGTCCGTGAAGACTGACACGTGACGTGGGTCTGCTGACGGGGACTCCCTCTGACAGAGCCAGGGTGTTTCCCCAGTGTCGGAGGTCTGCTCCCATGGAGGGAGGGACAGTGATCATCCGTCTCTTTTGTTTTACTGGATCCACACGCAGACGCGTAAACCACCTCTGGAGGCGTCTCATGTGTAACAAACCCAGCGGGACCACTGTGTGAGCTGATGACGTCATTCCCAACAGCTTCATGACGGAGACAGCTGTTACCACTTTGCCAGGTCTTACGTGGCGTAATTGGTTTTTAGAGTGTCGATTCTTGTTTGTGATAAACGAGCCGTCATGGTAATTGAGTTTAATTCCACTCCCAGATAACAATTATCTGGGCCGGGAAAATCGAGCTCTTCTTCCAGTTATGGCGAAGCCCAGATTTAGCAGGTGTGATGCTAACACCTGAGCCTGTATCAATGCTTCCTGTCTGGAGTGAGACAGGGGCAGCAGGTCGTCCAGGTAAAACAAAACTCTCATCCCTGCTTGTGCAGTGGATGCAGGGCTGTCTCCACACACTTTGAGAACGTACGAGGCGCGAGGGAGTACCCAAAAAAGGCAACCTGTTGTACTGGTACTTCATCCCTTGAAAGGCGAAACGCAGAAATTTTCTGTGTTTTGGGATGATTGGTGTGTGAAAATAGGCATCTTTTAAAACGATGGAGACAAACCAGTCGTTTTCCTGGATGTTGTCCAACAGCTGTCTGTTCATCAACATGTGAAAAGATCTGTTCATGATCGCTTTGTTGAAAGCTGACAGATCCAGGATCGGTCTCATCCCTCCGGTCCTTTTGGGGACCAGGAAGTAGCGTGAGTAAAACCCTGTGTTTTCCTCCTCGTTGGGAACTCTTGAGATTACACCTTTTATCAGAAGCTCTTGGACTTCTGCATTTAAGGCTGAGACTTGGTCTGGTGATGACAGGACCGTCTCTATAACTCCTCCGAACGGAGGGGGTCGGGTTGCAAACTGCAGCGTGTAACCCTTGCATAACACTCTGTCCATCCATCTGTCCGGTGAGCATGTTTTTAACCACTCTGCGTGACGTTCGTGGAGTGGACGTGCGTTTAAATGATGTGCCGTGTTTTGAACGGATGTCATCCAAACCTCCGCCTCGACCGCCGTCATGCGTCGCGGAAATGTTTTCCGCGTGACCCAAGGCGAGGCTTTCTCGAAAAGGGCTGTTCTGCGCGCGCCCGTGCGCTGTGACTGGATCGCGGACCAACCTTCATGTCCGGGCGGGGCGGTGTGTGCTGAGGCGAGGCGTGTGCCAGCTGATGACGTCGTGAGGCTGCACGTTTAACGTCGCTGTGCGAACGTTGAGAGGTGGAGGGCGTGACGTCATCAACGCCGTGCTGTCGAAGTGAAGGTTGTGAGCCTCGCGGGAGCGCACGTTTCCTCTGGAGGGACGCGCGCCGCTCTCGCTGAGGGCGGGGCCCGTCATTGGATTCATTCAGCTGTCTCACACTTATGCCGCCGTGAGCTGCTGATCGCTGAGACGCGGTGGATGACGGCCACTCGCGTTCATTCAGGAGAGGCGTGTGTTGTTTTCGCTGAGAGCAGGGACCTCCACCGGACCCGGCCTGCGGTCCCACATTTATCCCGATGTGGGCCGGTGAGCGCCGGGCAGCTGTGCGTGCATCATCGACACAGTGCCGTTTGGATGGAGGCTGCTTGTCTCGCTCGGGAGCGCGTTAACACCGTTGGGAGGTGATCGTGCGGGTCTGATTGACAACAAGTTATTTCGCTTACCGTGGTGTCACGTGAGCGTCTGGGCATGTGAAGGAGCGGCGGTGGATTTAAAAAACCTTTATTTAAGGACACCGGCTCTTATGAGTGGAGGATGTGTGTGTAGCGGCTGTGAGCTCATCCGAGCTTACAGACTGGCTAAAAACAGGCATTTTGCTCTTTGAAAAATCATTTATTCAATTCCTGTGTCATTTATACACACATCCTCCGCAGACCGTCATTTCTTAAAACTTCTCCCCCGTGAGCCCTGCGGTTTGTTTGCTCCGAGCGCCGTCTGCAGGCGATCTCTGGGGAAAACGCTGAAGTGCAGGCTGCCGGACTGAGGAGGGGTGGTCTCTGGCGGGCGGGGCTGGTGGTGGAGCTGGGCGAGACGAAGCTGCTGCTGCCGTGGAGCGTCGATGTTTCTGCCTCTGCTTTCGACGATCTCTCCAGCGGGCTGGAGGACGGAATGAGCCGCGCGGCTTGATGAGATGGCGTACAGCTTCCGACGTCTCCTCCGACTGCTTCGAATTCGTCAGCATGGACGTCAAGCTGCTTCCGAACAGCGCGTCCGATGAGATGGGGCCCTCCATCCGGTCTTGTGCAGCTTTTCCGGCAGCAATGGAGAGTGACGGAGCCAGATGGAACGTTGGATTACCGTCATCCATGCTACAATCCTCGACAGGCAAACCGAGGGAGCGGCGCACATGTTGAGGATGGCGTCTGCCGATTACACAGGGAGCTCATTGTCTCCTCCGGCAGGTCTGAGGTCTCCAGCCTTTTCGACATGCTAAATGCTAGCAGCGCATGTTGTTGCTAACTGCGGTTGCCTGAAAACACGTCGGTGGGCTCGATTGGAGAGCTTTGGTCGCCGTCTGGTTCCTCCGGAGGGACGGGACGCTGCTCCGACCTGGACAGCTTCGCTCCGGAAGCTTCCGCGAGGCTTGGCTCCAGGGGAGGGAACCGAGGAATAGCGTCAGTTGCCTTACAGAAGGAGTTCTTTGTCTCCAAGGCAGGTCTGCGGCCTTCAGTCCCTTGGACATGCTATATGCTAGCAGCGCACGTTGTTGCTAACTGCGGCTGCCTGGAAAAACACGTCAGTGAAAAATAACCTTTCCGCCGATCATCCGAACTGGCGGGAAAAGGCGAGGGACGTAGAAAAAAGGGGTCCCTTCATGTCAGCCTCCTCCCGGGTTCCGCCGGGCAACCCCTGAGGGCGCTGTCGGCCGGGAGCGGTGTGATCGCCGATGCGAAACGAGGTGGGATGGGGTGAGCATTCACTCAGCCCCCCTCCACCTACACTACGCTCCCCGGGAGGGAATGAGCAGCGGGGGCTGCAGCTGAGCACACCTTGCCCCGGAGGAACCATCCGGTTCGCCCCGAGGGTCGGCGATAAGAGGAAAAACACAAGATGGCGTTGTCCAGCGTGTAATGACCTGTCACTGGGAAATGTTCCCCGACGCTTACCTTGGAATAAGACTGCTGTCATCTTCTCCTCGGGGAGGAGAACTCACCGGACGACCGGAGGTCGACTGCCGGGCCAAGCATCTTCCGCAAAGGTTGGTCATTTACACAATTTATCTTCTTTGTTCTTCTGACAGTGCTATATTAGCTCGCTGAAGAAAAAATGGGAGCCGATTTCCCGCTCTTAACGTAATTTATACAGACCGGGTGGGGCCCACACAGCAGGTGGGCGTGGACTAATTTTTTTCAGTGCTTATGCTGCGCATAACGGGATAAACCATCAGCGACAGCCTTAAAGGGCGAAGCCTATATGAAATAGAACACAACTTTTCAATGATTTTGATTTGAATTTTTGTGCTTCTAACACAACTTTTACATAATTAAATGGATTTTTGAGACTCATCACATCAAATCAGGGATTAAGTCAGATTGAAACAAACAAACAAAGCCCATTTTCAAGATTCCTATCTTTTTAAGCAACGTTTTGAAACTTAGATCGTTTAATATCACAAGCAGCTCCAGACTGGATGTGTCTTGGTCAATGGGATAATTCGATCTATCTGCTTGTCATGAAACCTTGGTTTTTTCCCGTTGTTCAGAAGCTGTGGAATCCCAACCTCACCTTGACCACAGTGAGTAATCCCTCGTTGGTGGTGGGGTCAGTGGGGATGGAGAACCGTCCTGTGGGGTCTCCAGCGATGATGCGGTAGATGGCGCCCCAGGCCGGTGTGTGTGGTTGGTCTTTGTCTGTCACGGTCAAGTTGGCGACAATCACGTTTACCTTGTTCTCTTGAACCTCCCCAAAGAACTAAAATACAAACATCAGCGTTACTGCCATATACAGTACATGCATTGAAATACTGGACTCCGTTGTGTAAACCAGGACATTCAAGCTGATGCTGTGTCTGCACAGGATGGTCCCAGGACAGGTGTATGTCCTCTGGCTCCATGTAAACAAACAAGACCTTGCTCTCGGTAAAATAAAAACTAAAAACAAGAGAATCACAAAGAGCACATTAGATACCCTTAGACAAACTATTATAAAAGTAGTCTGTAGCAATGGACAAGCAAAGACCTTAACTTTGATCTTGATTTGCGTCCTTGACCTTAGAGCGGGGGGGGGGGGGGGGGGGAGAAAAGATTAAGGACACTCTGACTAGTGATGATGCATATATGTAGGAAGTTTTGTTAAATTATCTTGAGCAGATTAGAAGTTATGGACGGGTCAAGAGAAAATTTACGGAAGGTCGGACGAGGACTCTACGGGCTTAAGCTTCACATCTCCGGTGCGCAAACGTTAGTTCCAAAAATCCAACATGGCAGCATCTTTAACACGGATCCTGCTGCCCTCAACAACAAGGGAAGGCAGGGATGTGTGTTTTAGTAAAATAATATGTTTGGTTATCGCAAGTTTACTCTTCAGAGCGACTGTAGGAGCAGCAACACAAACATGTTAAATCACAGCTACAGGTTTCTTCCACAAACACCTGGTTACTCCGTTCATGGTGGAACCATCTGAGGAGGGAGGTTTACTCCTCCATCGTCTGTCCAGTCAGTTTCATATGAAATTCATATTTTATGACGTAACATCATTTTGTTCACTTTAAGTCTCTTACAACGTAAAAACGTTCCACATACGAACTGAAAACACACGTTATTTTAAAACTATCACATTAAATACACTGTAAAATGATTACATTATATTGCATCTACCGTATTTTCTGCCGTACAAGTCGCACCGCCCTAGAAGTCGCATCAGTCCAAATATGTTTAATAAAGTGGAAAAATCCATAAATACGTTGCTTCGCCGTATACGTCGCATCTATTACGCGTCACAGCTGACGTGTCGCATTTGTTACGTGTCACCGCTGACAACCCGGAAATGTGGGCTGGTGTTGTGCCAAAAATCGATTGTCTGCTGAAAGCGTGAACGAGAAGACTTTAACAAAAATTTAACAAGATTAACACTTAAAAACAATTATTTGTTTGCACGAAATTATAGTAAAGGTGTGTCCCAGTCTAACTTTTGCTTAATAAATGCACTTTGACGGTCAAATCAGCTGCATTTCAAAAGTACTCACTACCTCGGTGCTGCAGGGAACGCGCAGACAAGGAGGAAAAAAAGACGGAGGAACACTGCACGTTTCTTTGAAATTTAACAAGATAACCACCTAAAAACAATTGTTTGTTTGCTCTACATTATAGTAAACGTGTGTCTCAGTTGAACTTTTACTTATTAAATGCACTTCAATGGTAAAATTAGCTGCATTTAGCCGAGGCGGTGCAGCGAAATGAAGCTGATTTGACGGTTGCTCCAAGCGAGCTGGACGACGGTGGCAGGTTATGGCAAGCCGATTTTGTCAATAATAGCCACTTTTACCTTTTGCATGATACAACAGCATGCCATACTACTCAAGTGCCATCTAGCAACTGAAAATGGCAGTGTTCAATATTTTCAGTCTGAATGAATGAAAACGGTCATATCTTAGCCAAAAATTGGTTTATAATTATGGGGAAAAAAAATCCATAAATACATCGCTTCGGCCTATAAGTTGCAGGGCATGCAAATTAAAAAATGCAACTTATAGGGCGAAAACTACGGTAGTTTATTTAAACCAGTCGCTCTCTAATTTGTTAAAAATGACTTTTTTCTTTAATAGAAGTCCAGCGTTGAGCTGCTCTGCATTTTCATGCTCACTACAGACAGAGACGTTACGTCCACATTTCTCATAAAACTGAGACTGTCGTCTTGATTCAGATTACGTTTTCATGAGTTAGCAGAAGTGGTATGCTAGTGTTAGCTCGCTTTGCTCTGTTTTGATGCAACTCTCGGACAATCAGACTGTTGGATTGTTGGCCTGTCACGTTTTCTTGCAGATATTGACAGATTTACCTGCAGCGGAGCGGACAGTCCATGTCCCATTCATACACCTTTAAAAAAAACACTTACATTATTATAAAACACCTGGATTTATTCCATCACAGATTCTGGGACATTTCAAGTATTAAAGTCAGTTTCACGTTTAATGTCCAGTTTTGCTGCTCTGTCTGCATTTTCCACCAAATCACAGGACCTCTTCCTGCACGCTGATCCTGAACATGTCCTCTGATTGTGTGTGTGTGTGTGAGGACATACTGTGTCTGTGGTAAAGTCAGGAAGGTTGTCGTTGACGTCGTTGATCCTGATAACAGTGGTGGCGGTGTTAGAAAGGCCGTAGGTGGGGTTTCCCTCCATGTCGGTGGCCTGGAGGATGAGGGTGTACTGGGTGACTTTCTAAAGCCAGACAGGAACAAAGGAGAGTTAAAACCATTTTTATTTTACTTTTTCTCACACAAATACCCTCCCCCCAACATTAGACAATCCTACAGGACTCGTCAGAAGGAAACCCTCCTTACTACACCTGCTAAGACCCTGCACAGACCACAATGTCCTGGTTGGTCTTTAACGTAGCGGGATGGACGTCCTGAGGGACGTGGACATGTTTGAGCCACTGAGATCACTTTTGTGTTTCCAGAATGCCATTATTTCTATGAACACAATGTGTACACCTGACATTGTGCATGAAAAAGCAAGAACTAAAATGTTAAATTGTCTGTTGCAGCATAATCCTGTTTTGTTCAAAGTGAAAAAAATCACTGCTGACCGTCCTGTATTTGGCTTTCTGTTGACTCATTTATACAAAAAACAGCCAACAGGAAGCTTCATCCAGCGTTCTCAGCGAGTTGTAAACAAAACAACAGTTTACATTTAAGCCCTGCCCTGTGTGCCTGAGTCACATAAACATAACTATAAATGGTGTTATTATTGATTTCATGCAGGCTGTCAAACCATTGCTCACTGCAGACAGCATGGACTCAGACGGGTTCTGAAGAATCCACTGATGTCAAAATATTTCACACACACACAAACACACACAGACACACCTCCCGATCGAGGCCTGCTGCCACAGTGACGATGTCACCAGTCTTGTTGTTAATGGTAAACATGTTGGAAGAGGGGCTCTGGGGATTCTGGGACAGGATCTTGTAACGCAACATCCCATTGGCTGTTTTTGGGTCATCCTTATCCATGGCTGTCACCGTCATCACAAAAGATCCTGAAAGGGTTACACACAGCAAGTCAACACCCATATTCAAAAGTGTGTGTGTGTGTGTGTGTGTGTGTGTGTGTGTGTGGGGGGGGGTGTTCTATGAGCACATCTGTCAGCTGTATGGTGTGTTTGTATGTGCTGGGGTCGGCGGTACATTGACTTTATAATAAGTATTAAGTGTAACTTTAATGCATATTTTAGCACCTCCATCTAATTCGATTGGAGTTTAGCTTTTCCCAGGCATTTGTAATGCATCTGCTCAGTTCCCCTCTCTGAAAACACTGTATCTAGTCTGACCAATAAATGGTGCAAACTCTTTTATTTGTAATACTGTCATTGTAGATATATTTAAATTCAATTCTGACTAGTTGGAATGTGGTTGTGAAAAAGAGAAATGCTAATATTGATAAATTAGAGAAGCGAGTGTGATTAAATGGTAAAACAGCCTGCCGTACAGTGCGCTATCCCAGTCAGTTGAACAGGCAGAGCTGAGCGTAACAGGACAGGTTGCTGTTTGCTCTGATTGATACCTGCGCACATCAGTCTCTGTATGTGTGACAATGTTTTACAGGTGACCTCATTTATTTATGTCCTAAAACACGACCTGTAACTCTCTAGATCGGTCCTAAAAGGCTCACATTTATCAACCAGAGTGGCAGAATTTGATTTGTGTGGTATCAACACTTCAATACTACAATAAAATGAGCATGAACAACCCTGCATGCTAGCAGCTCAGCTGATGTGGACTCCAGGTTAGACTGGAGGCAACTATGAAAGATGTAAACACACACAGTGGACTGAAGTCATCTTGCTGCTGTTACACCTCTGAGCTGTGAAGAGCCAACCCTAAAGAAGAGCTTGTATTTGTACCCATAACACAGCATCTTCCAAATGTGACTTTAATCAGTCTAAATCTGAAGACCCTCAGGAGGGCTTGAACCCTGTGGTTAAAATCTGTCTTAGCTATCCATTGCAATTGGATAGCTCTTAATTTGATTGTTGATGACGTCTCCCTGAGCTGAAGTGGCTCAACACAAGAAGCAGAATTGCAGAATTGCATCTTGCAGTAAAGCAGCTCAGCTGCCGTCTGATTAAAGATAATTAAACAGCAATCTTTGGGGATATTCTGAAAATATGGTTTCTTTATTGAACCTTTTATAAAAATCCATCTCGTTGTAAATACCCGTTTTGTCTGGATTGTATAAATCACAGTGGGTGAGTTTCTTTTTGGCTTAATGTTTGTGCTGATTGCTTTTTGACTTGTTGTCACTAGCAGCTATAAAGGCTGGTGTCAATCAGAGGCCAACAGCTATCAGTGTTTCACCACCATGGGTGTTTACTGCTGCTTTGTGGAGTCACTGATAATTGCTTATCCTCTTGCATCACACCTGCTGGTTCAGTGAGCTTATCAAGAAACAACTGTAAAAGTGTGTCTCCAGTGATTCTCAACCAAATGTTTGTAAAATGTTACATTTTGGGGGTGCACATTTTACCACGGTGTGTGAAGAGAGGTGTCAGAGCTGAGCCTCTGCAGTCAAACAGTTTGACAGTTCATAAACGGAGAAACATGATCCAATTGCTCATTTTTATCTTCACCGTTCACAAAGTGGTCCTTTCAAGGAGGAGGTGTTGTGACATACTTCTCCATAAGTATGGTTGTGTGTGTGTTAATGCATGCGTGTGTATGTGTGTGTGCACATGTGTGTACCAGGCTTGGAGCCTTCGGGAACAGAACCGTTGAAAATAGTGTGCATAAACTCTGGTCGGTTGTCATTCTGGTCGATGACATTAATGACGATGTCTATGGGGTTCTCCACTTGGTTCCCATTCACGTCCACAGCGTGGGCTCGTAGCTGTCCACAAAAACACACAGACGCACACAACAATACAACTTTCAGTAAAACCTTACTAATTTGCATAATTTTAGACTAAGATCATATGATTAGAAATTACAGCGTTTTAGCAATTTTGGTCAACTCTTGAAAATTACTTTAGTGTTGGCTAAAGTCTGTGGCGGTCTGAGGGAGCTACATCATAACGATTATATGGATTCTAGCTCAGTTTTCAACACCACCACCCCTGATGTCCTGGTGTGGAACCTGTCAGATCTGATCTTCATGTCTTCCATCTGGATCATACTTCTTGATTGGTCAGCTGCAGGGGTTGAAAGTTGGTCAGCTCTGCTACTTTACTCTGACACTCAGTTCTGGCATCCCTAAGGGCTGTGTGCTGAGTCCTTTCCTGTATTCCCTTCATCCAGCTCTCCAGCTCCATCAAGTTTGCAGACAACACCATCAGGTGTTCAGCCTGATTAAGCAGGGATGATGAGTCAGCCCGTAAGGAGATATACAGGAGCTGGCAGCGTGGTTCACCAGGAACAACTTGGTGACCAAGGAGACGTTTTTGATTTCAGGAGGAAGAGAAGGGAATACACTCCTCTGAACATTTATGGGGCTCCTGTGGCTAGGGTGTCATCTTTCAAGTTTTAGGGGACCTCACCTGGCTGGCCTACACATCAAAAAGGCCCAGCAGAGACACCATTTCTTGCGGGTGCTGAGGAGGAATCATCTAGAGAAGAAACTGCTGGCGTCCTTAAACCGTTCCACCATAGAGATGAGTGCTGACATACTATGTAATTGCAGCAGACAGGAGGACCCTACAGGGGGTCATCAAAACTGCAGCCAGGGTCAGCGGTAGCCTTTGCCCCCCCCACTCACCCCCAACCCCTCCTGAGGAGATTGCCAGCTCCCACAGCCTCAGCAGCATGATGGAAATCTCCTCTGACCCCTCCCATCATGGTCAACGGCTGTTCAAGCGGCTGCTCTTCGGCAAGCGGTTCAGATCCTCGAGATGCAGAACCAACAAACTGAAGAGCAGTTTTTAGATGTGGACCATCAGGCCTCTGAACCGGGTCTAACAGATCCATGTTGCTCAGATGTTTTAGATGTTCTTACTTGAGCCTGTGTGTTTTTATATCTAATACTATTTATTTATTTATTTGATATTATCCTATACGATTTGATTTTATTTCTTATTTAATTTTTACTACATTTGTGTGCACTGTTCAGTGGCGGCTTGTCAATTTTCCTCATGCACTGTTTTATGATAACTAAAGAGCGAGCCTTCATTTGGTTAGCTATTAGCCTAGCCTAGATAAAGACTTTTTTTTCTTCACACTTCTTTAATTGATACAGTCTGAACTATTCATAAAAATCTGACAAAATGTCACTTCAAAAATCAATTTCAGGTTATTTTCAGTTTATTTATATAGCGCCAAATTACAACAGAAGTTGCCTCAGGGCAATCACCAGTCCATCTTTTGTAACACTCAGAGGAGTTTTCAAACTGTCAACAACAATATAAACTCAGGCTGAACATAGAATGCTTCTTTTTTATTACCTAAAACATTCATGCTTGTTTATTGCTAGTCTTCAGGTTTTAAAACTGTATTTTGTCCATGTTCATTCAACCTTTATTTATACAGGCTAGTCTCATTGAGCCATGAGGACTCATTTACAAGAGAGACCTGTTCCAGATGGAACATACATACTGGTAGTACAGACAAATGTGTTTGTTGTTGGTTGTTTGAAAATTAAACATATATATTTTAATATGATTAACCCACCAGCTAGATGTATCTGTTTAGCATATTGTGGTTATAAAAGCTAAATATAGGCACTGATGGAGCCTGATGAGTGGTTCCTTTACAGTGTGTGTAGCATCAGCATGGGGTTCTCAAAGCTTCCTTCATGAATAAACATAGAGGCCAATCCGAGCTGCTAGCACTGACAGCTACATCCAGAACATGAATATTCATCACACGGCTTAAATGCAAATTTCCCTACTGCGACTGGAGATAGTTCTTCCCCCATGTGATCAGGGTGTGCATTTCTGCAGATCAAAAGGTTACGCTCGGCTCCCCGAGCTGTTTGGTACCACATTAGATATAGAGAGTAAACAGGAAGTGCCCTTTTATTTTAAACTACTTCTTATTAATTTCTGCACAAAAATAAATCCATAAGTGAAGCAGGGAAAGATATAAAGTAAAGGCTTAACGTTCCTTGTTGGAATGCATATTACCTGCCAATATGATCATACTGTATTATGATAAGAAACTATGAAGTTGTCTCCATAATGAAAATTACATTAAGCACAATGTCATGCAATATCATGAGATGCCACAATCACGACTCTCAGCTAATACTTCATCAAATCTTAGCTCATTATCTGTAAAACTGACTGAGTTAAAGCCCCTTACTGTGGCGACCATCTTGAATTATATTGACTTCCAAGTCCATCGCACATACAGTAGATGTACAGGTGCATCAGAACAAGAACAAACAGATTCAAGAACTGTTTTTTCCCCAAAAGCCATTACCACACTGAACTAATATATGCACTGATTCAATAATCTAACCTCCCAAACCCCTGGACTTCTATTGTGCAATACTACTGACATTTCAAACTCTCAATCACCTTAACTACCTCACTAATATCCATAATGTGCAACATAATTGTGAAATACTTGCATTTTTTACTTTCATAGTGCTATTATATCTATATTGTGTTACATTTTTATATTTTTAGTGTGTGTTTTTCTTAAGCATGTTTTTGCACTGAAAAAAGGAGTGGCTCTTAATTCCATTGTATTTGCGTATAATGACAATAAAAGCATTCTGATTCTGATTCTGTACAGACAGACATGCTGTATGGTATGGTATGATATGGTATGGTATGGTAAGATATGATATGATATGATATGATATGATATGATATGATATGATATGGTATGGTATGGTATGGTATGGTATGGTATGGTATGGTATGGTATGGTCTGGTATGGTATGGTATGGTCTGGTATGGTATGGTATGTATGGTATGGTATGTATGGTATGTATGGTATGGTATGGTATGGTATGGTATGGTATGTATGGTATGGTATGGTATGGTATGGTCTGGTATGGTATGGTATGGTATGGTATGGTATGGTATGGTCTGGTATGGTATGGTATGTATGGTATGTATGGTATGGTATGGTATGGTATGGTCTGGTATGGTATGGTATGTATGGTATGTATGGTATGGTATGGTATGGTATGGTATGGTATGGTATGGTATGGTAGGATGTGACACTGTCAATCACACGGTTCCTCAGTCGAAGCCAACCCACCCTTGAAGTGAGATAGTGAGAGAGCCGAAACGGTCGACATGTGAGACAAAGAACCAATGCTGCAGATTACTAAAGTGACAAAGTGCTGACAGCTCAGCTGGTCTGTGTGCTGCTGAACTGTTTTATAAATGAGTCCACGGTGTAACTTCACACTTTTCTTACAAACTTAAAAAATGCATAGAAACAAAACACCTTTAAAAAAAGAAGCATATTTGAACAAATAGCTGCAAAGAGCTACATGAATTAGCAAAAACAAACACTTAAAACATTATCATGAAGAGTTTGTTTAGTCAGTCCAATGTTCCATTACTTTAAATGGAGGGGCGAGACTTAAAAACTGCTCTGCAGCCAGCCACTAGGGGGTGCTTAGCCTCTGGGGCTTCAACTTTAGGTTTCTGGTCCGCTTTCTAATTGTGGAAATGCTGAGTCAGCACTAAGCTAATATTTTTGCTACTTTGTATTTTAGCTAGCGTTTTGTTTCTTTTAGCTTTTAGCTCGGGTTCTTCTTGTTCTAGTTTTAATAACGCAGTTTCAGTTTTTCAGCAGTCGGTTAACGCTCAGCATTTTCATCCATCCATCCATCCATTTTCTTTACCCGCTTGTTCCATTTTGGGTCACGGGGGTCGCCGGTGCCCATGTCCAGCAATCACTGTGCGAGGGGCGGGGTACACCCTGGACAGGTCTCCAGTCCATCACAGGGACACATAGAGACAAACGAGACAAACAACCATTCACTCTCTCACTCACACCTAGGGACAATTTAGAGTTACCAATCAGCCTAACATGCATGTTTTTGGTCTGTGGGAGGAAACTGGAGTACCCGGAGAAAACCCACGCATGCACGGAGAGAACATGCAAACTCCACCCAGAAAGGCCCCTGGACCGGGGTTTGAACCAAGGACCTGCTCGCTGAGAGGCAGCAGCTCTACCAGTTGCGCCACCGTGCTGCCCCAGCATTTTCATGTAAAATGTAATTTGTCTGGCAATAATTTCTCTCAATTGATTTTGGGCCAAACATGGAGCATCATGGTGTCACATTTGCATTGATGGAGACTGACTCACATGAAAGTTGGAGATGTGTTCCCTGTCCAGTGGTTTGGTGACAGACAGCTGGCCTGAGGCGGGATCAATGATGAAGATACCACTCGGGAACTGATCTGCTCCGGGACCTGTCACACTGTAACGCAGCATCCGGTTCTTGTCCCTGTCCGAGTGGATCTGCAGGACAGACATGGAAGAAGCAGAAGAACAAGAGCATGAACTGCTGAATAGATTGAAAGTTCATCTTCATCTGATTTATCTTCTGGAGTCAACCCACTCCAAGATGGTCGCCACAGATAATCCAGATTAGCAAACATAAAAATTGCTTTAAGTCAGTGAATATAACAGATATTTAAGAGTTGAGAGTCATTCCCAACACGTGCTCTGAGGACATGAGATTAAGTGAGTTGATCAAAAGGTGATCTGAGACTGACACAACAGGAAGGGTTAGTGTGGTTTGGGAAACACCATGTTTTTAAATATGTGTGTCTCACCCTGACTAGGTCCTCAGGGAACTGTCCTCGTGAGTTTTCCGGGACGTTGATTGGTGGAATGACCCAGTCTCTCTTCACCCGCCTTAGAGTGCCGTCACCCCCGCCGACCGCGCTGCGCCATGGAAACAAGATCTGTGGTTGCTGCTGAGTCAGTGCTGCATCATCAAGCTTTACCTGCAGAGTATAAACAAGCCACACACATAAACAGCTGCTGGTGACTCAGGGTGTTTCTGACCTCGTTCCACTGGCCTGAATTAGTGCCCTTATTATAGTCTTCTTATGTGACAACCACCTGCCATCACATGTGGTGTGTGAGTGTGCATGGATGTGTCACTGAGAAGGTGCTCTTCAGTCTTCCTGCTCACAAAGCTTTGAACACAGAGATTCTCAGGTAGTCCTGCTGATTTAAGGAAAGTTCATGCTCAATAATCCAGGTAAAAATCCAACAAAGTTCAGTCAGGTCATCTGGGCAGTTTCTTTTTTTTTGTTGTTGTTGAGACTTGCCGTCCGTCATCCAAAGGACTTCATCAGTACGAGGAGCTACAACAAACTCAGTCCCACAAGCAGCACACTCACATAGTGGACCAACCAGTTTGCTGGTGATAAGATGGTTTCTGGACCTGCCCTCTCCCCCATCGACTCATTTAAGGCAGCAATAGCCTAGATTTGACCTGGATTATTGAGCATGAACTTTGATGTTTTGAAGCACTTTGGCTATGGCTGCCTTCAAGAAGATGACAGGGGAGAGGGCGGGCCCCAGACACCATCTATGGGAGTGTGCTGCTTGTGGTACTGAGTTTGTTGTGGCTTCTCAGACTGATGAAGTCCTTTGGATGAAGGACAAAATAAGAGACCATCCAGATGACCTGACTGAACTTTGTTGGATGATTTAAAGAAGTTCCTTGCTGAGCTGCACCTGCTGGAGACTGACTCAAAATTAAAAGAAATTTGGTGACTTTTTCCAAACTGCCTGAAAGTTTGTGAGCAGTGAGCTGTGTGGCTGCATTTGGAGGAGCCAGATGTTGAAAAGTACAGCTTATTTTTACGTGCACAGCTCATAAAACTGCATTCTTGAACATAAATAGCATTTGGTTACTCGCCTCTGTTCATATTTGAGCTTTTGTTTGAATTGTTTTACTTCAGTTTTAGTATCTTCAGATCTCAGCATGGTCATACAGCACTGTGCAGTCACGTTGCGTTTTCACCAGAAATAAAGATATTTTTTGTTACTAACAAGTTTATCCCTTGAACTTCTGAACTTAAATTCCTTCCTCTGAGCCTCTTATCCAACAGTAATTCCTCCTTTGTGAGCAACTCTAACAGTCATTGTATTTGTACATACCTGTTGAAGTGCAGTCCTGCTGTTTGGACAAATGTGGAGATGAACTTTGACCTTCCACAGCTGCTTGGACTGGAGGTCCTGAGCATAGACCACCACCTCAACTTCCTCCTTCCCCACCAGGTTAAGGTGCCGCAGGGTGGAGACTACACCCTGCTGACTCACGCTGAAATCAGGAGAATCATCAACTCTGAACCATACTTGTCCTTCGCCACAATCCATGAAGGTCACTGTGAAAAAAAGACAGAGGCATCAGAAAAGCTGAAGGACCTCACTGTCCCCACTGATGCGCTGTGTGTTTGGATGACTTGTCTGAAGTCTGCATACACCCTCAGTCTCGGTCTGGGACTTTCTGACTGTCTCAGACCCATCAAATCACTTCTGTGCACCAACATTTATTTTACTCACAGATGCTCAAAAGATAAACACTAAAAGCTTTAAGTTGTTCTAAAGGCTGGGCTGTCACTGAACACGATGCAAGGGCCAATGATGGAGGAAGGACTTAGCTCATAGACAGGGAAAGGTCCAACATTTTAGCTATCCATCCATCCATCCGTCATCTATCCAGCCAATTATCATCATCCATCCATCCATCATCCATCCATCCATCCATCCATCCATCCGTCACCCACCTTCTATCCATCCATTTATCATCATCCATCCATCCATCCATCCATCCATCCATCCATCCGTCAACTATCCAGCCAATTATCATCATCCATCCATCCATCCATCCATCCATCCATCCATCCATCCATCCAT